ACATTCTCCCCATGGACAATGGCCCACCTGTGGAACCTGGAATTGCAAATTTCAAGGAAGACTCAGGAAATGTTCAATGGCTCCATGAGCCCATCGGGCACTGACCATGGATCAGTAATTGAATATGAGAGATGAATGCACATCAGGAGTAATTTGCATAGGCAGAATTATGGAGGCACAATTGACGTATGGGGGCGCTGCTGGTCATGTTTGAATTGCATTGGTCAGGGATGAGGGGCATTGGCAGGGCTGTGTGGGGAGCCCAGGACTGGAATAGCGGGGGCTGCAGGGCAGAGTTCAGGGGCATTGGCAGAGCTGTGAGGCGGTTCCAGGACTGGGCTGTGCTGCGAGGCAGAGTGTGAAGGTACCTGGAGAAGTAGCTCCTCTAACTCCTTTCCTGGGGTTGCAGGTCGACTTGCATTTCTCACCGGCCGAGGGCCTCCCCGCCTCCGACACTCACCTCCGGATCGGAGCCTCCCCGGGCTCCCTGTGCGCCGTCCGTGCTGTGGACAAGAGCGTCCTCCTCATGAAGCCTGAAGCCGAGCTCTCGCCCAGCTCTGTAAGTGCCAGCCTGGCCCAGTGATCAACAGGTGCAAGAGCTGGTCTTGTCTGGAAAGTGCCGAGAATCACTCGTGAGAGCTAGGGCAGAGTAGTCTGTCTGTTATTGTAGGGTCCCTCGTCAGCACAGGGGCTGTGCCCACTGCTTGATCTATGTAGGGCCCTCATGAAAACTATAGCTGCACCCAGTGGTTTATAGTTCTGGGGCCACTTGTGAGGACACAACTACACATACTGATTTATTACTGGAGGGCCACTGGTGAGCACTGGTCAGCACACACTGGGTTATTATTGAAAAATCAGTGTTGAGCCCTGGAGTCAGATATTCTGCTCTGTTACTGTAGGGTTTGTTATTGTAGGGTCATCCTTGGTCACTGGGATTGCACGCACATGTGTGTTAGTTTAAAGTTGTCTGTGATCACTAGGGTGGCACACGCTGGTTTATCATTATTGGGTCTGTGGTCACTGACATCGAGGCGTGTCCGCGCAGGTGTATGATTTGCTCCCGGTAAAGGAGATCAGGGGTTATAATTACCGGGATCACCATTTGGAGGAAGAAGACGATAATCCTTGTGTGGAACTCGACGACGTCATTATAAACGGATTCATCTACGGACCCATTTCTCCTGACAGTGAAGGGGACGCCTACAACATTCTCAAGGTGAGCGCCACGTCACAGAGATCCTGTCCCACACGCTCTCCATCCCGTCTACATAGATATCTGTGAAGTGCCAGTC